TTATCCATCAGCCTCCCGAGCTGTTAACCCCCATCTCGGCCCCATGGCCATTTGCACAATGGGGGGTAGAAATCATAGGTCCTTTTCCCCTAGGCAAAGGGCAAACCAAATTCGTCGTTGTCGCTGTAGACTACTTCACTAAGTGGGCCGAGGCCGAGGCGTTGTCCCACATCACGGAATCCACAGTCACATCTTTCATATGGTCAAACATCGTATGTCGTTTCGGTATACCGAACGCCATCGTGACAGACAACAGAAAGCAGTTCGACAATGCAAAATTCAAGGACTTTTGCAGAAAATTGGGCATGAGCCATCTCAGTTCGTCCCCTGCACATCCGAAAGCAAATGGGCAGGTTGAAGCGATAAACAAAATCATAAAACGAGGACTCAAGCTGAGACTGGATTCCAGAAAGGGAAGGTGGGCCGAGGAGCTACCTAAAGTATTATGGTCATATCAGACCACCCCAAGGGAGTCAACTGGCGAAACTTCGTTCTCGCTAGCCTTTGGCTCCGAAGCTGTTGTACCGGTTGAGATCGGTATACCAACAGACAGGATAGAGCAGTACGAGCCAGCGAAGAACGAAAAAGAGCTACTCCTTAACCTGGACCTATTGGAAGAAAAAAGGGAAATGACTCAGCTGCGCCTAGCAGAGCATCAAAACAGAATAGCCAGACATTACAATGCCCGAGTTCGACCTCGAAGCTTCCAAGTTGGACATTTGGTCTTAAGGAAAATTCAGAGTCATGTGGGCACCCTTGACCCAAGTTGGGAGGGACCGTTCGAGGTTAAAGGCATAGTCCGGCTCGGAACGTATATGCTGGCTGATCTGGAAGGAAGAGTGCTTGCACAGCCATGGAACGCGGAGCACTTGAAGCGCTACTACCCTTGAAATGTCAAAATGGTCCTAAAATGGACTTGTAAAAATTTTCAAGGGGCGGAACTTTTAATAAATGGAGCTATTTAATTTCATAACTCCGAGTTCGATTAGAAATTAAATGGGG